ACACCCACCTCGCTACAACCTCCTTTCAGGTAGTTGTAGAGAGCGATGAGGTCTCCCCTCAGCCTCCTTTTCTCCAGGCTGAACAGTCCCAGTTCCCTCAGCCGCTCCTCATAAGACTTGTTCTCCAGACCCCTCACCAGCCTCGTTGCCCTTCTCTGGACACGCTCCAGCACCTCGACGTCCTTCTTGTAGTGAGGGGCCCAAAACTGAACACAGTATTCGAGGTGCGGCCTCACCAGTGCCGAGTACAGGGGCACGATCACTTCCCTCCTCCTGCTGGCCACACTATTGCTGATACAGTCAAGACCAACGCTTCAGCTAAATCGTATTTTACTTTATTTAAGGGAAGCTGTTCCGCTTTCCTGACTCTCCCCAGAAGACGTCACGGTTTCTGCTCCCGTTCCTCTCAGATTAAGGGAAAACGTCAAAGAACGGGACACATTAAATCAAGCACCGAGGCTTCTCCTTACGTTGTCCTTGATGCCTCGGCTCTTCAGCTCCTGGATTTCTGCCATCAGTCTCTGAAGCTCCTGGCAGGTCTCTCTGTAGAGTTCGTAGTCTTTGATGGGGTCACGGAGATCCACCTCGCACTCCTCGCTGTAGTACCTGACATCCTGCAAGGGCGGAAAGCACTTTCTATGGCTCGTTCCTTCCACCTTCTCTGGAAAGGGCGCTGGGAAACAAACTGCTGGGTCTCGATTCCTGGCTCTGTCCGTTAATCCCACGCCCGAGGAGACTTTACAGACGGGAAGAGGCCTCGGTTAACAATCCTGGACACAAACACCACCAGGCATTAAAACGCCTGGGGAGCTCACGTTGCCTCTTCGATAGTTATTGTAAGTCTAAGCTGGTATCTGTCCTGCACCGGGAATATCCGAATTACTACAGAGGATAAACTGGGGAAGGCGACTACTGCTTCAACCCCAGTCTGCGCTTCGGCTGAACCCAGGTTACCCTGCTGCTCGCGGGGGTGTTTTAAGGCCACCCGCAAACCCCCGCGGGACCCTTCAGCCTCGTGCTCGCTCTCCCTATGTCTCAAGAGAAAGGTTCGACTCCTTGAACGCTGTTTCCCGAAGGAGACAGGAGCAGGTTCGGAAGTTCAGACCGGGAGTTGTTTCAGAGGCGCTGGGAGCCGGCTCAGCTCTGGGGGCGGGGGGGGG